CGTCTTGGTATATCGTTCAAAAATCCCGCGCTCGAAACCTCGAAACCCAAGCAGCACGGGTAGAGTGTACTAGAAGTGTAGCACGGGCCATTCAACAGGCACTGCACCGTGCTCCCGACCGGGTTGCAGAAATTAGGTGCCTTTTCTCATCTTCTAACCACTACCACCACCACCAACCCATCGACCGCCTTGGCAATCACACGCTCGCCATGCATGGTGCTGGCGCCCTCTGTTGCGTGACGCGGGCATCAGAGCCGTTTATCGGGGTTTCAGGCGAGTTGTTGCGATACATTCATGGTTATTTCTGCAGTTTGTAATATTTGAAGCAGTGTTGGCTCATTTTGCACTGGTTTTTTGCACCGTTAACCTTGTTTTAGGACTGTATTGACCACTGCTTTACCATCGACACGAAATAGTAAATGTATATAACCGGTTATTAAGTGCTACGCCCTTAAACATCAACGCGCCTTCGTGAGGCTACTTCCGCAGAGTTTGTTCACTTCTTTGCCGACTTCACACGTATTTCTCATGCGATGGCAGACTGAAGTTCTGAAATTGACCCCTATAGCGACATCGTCGACCAATAGAGACGGTGTGCACACGAATGTCAGTGTTAATTGTGCTCGTTCCTTCCCAATTAAGGAACGAGTGTCCGTTTCAAGTTCCCTAAATTCACAAGGAACTCGTTATAGTTACCTCTCAAAAGCTGAAATGTGTCGTTCAATTACCATTACATTTGATCTTTTGATTGAAACATATTGCTACATGATGTCGATGCCAATTCAAGTGAAACATTTAATTTTAATTTACCTCCACGTATACACTTTACGAATTTAACATCAGCAGCAGCAGGTTATATATAGACAGAAGTAGTGTAAGGAAACGATCCTAGATGAACTTTTTAGACGTCACCACTCATACTACAAGTATGTATAACTGCAACTTTGGTGCCCGTCTATGACAACTGCAACACCTATGGCACTTTCTAAAGCAGCCTTCAAATGTGCAGTCAGAATACTGCACTTCAGATATTAACTCGATAGTGTTAAAGAGCTTGTATCGCTGAAATTTTGGTGTCGGCATCGGCATGGTTGGTTGCGCATAAGGGGGTTACGCATAAGTGGGAATTTGACAAATAAATAGGTATTAAAAAGCAGTTACAGTGCGAATTCAACCCAAGCCTCTTACGTATAGCTAGCAGCTGACGTTCTGCCAAACAGTCAGGTAGTTACTTGAAACTGCTTCGAAAAAAAAATACACATATCACGTTACTAGACAAGTCTTCTACGCATATACTGTTGCGTGACAGCAGCGTACAATCACGCCAGGCGTCAACACATAAGAATGGTGCAATGAGTGGGTGTTTTAAAGGTCCACCCATTACAGAACGTCCAGAGACGAAGTCAACAGCTGCGTAGATTCGCGTTTGAAGAACCGACCCGTACAGTGGTTCTTCTCTAATTTGCAAAAAGGAAGAAATACGGCGTAGCGGGCACTTCGCAACTGCACTTGCAGTAGCTCTTCTAAGATAGTCCAAAACGCCCCGCCGCGGTGGTCTAGTGGCTAAGGTACTCGGCAGCTGACCCGCAGGGCGCGGGTTCGAATCCCGGCTGCGGCGGCTGCATTTCCGATGGAGGCGGAAATGTTGTAGGCCCGTGTGCTCAGATTTGGGCGCACGTTAAAGAACCCCAGGTGGACTAAATTTCCGGAGCCCTCCACTACGGCGTCTCTCATAATCATATAGTGGTTTTGGGACGTTAAACCCCACATATCAATCAATCAATCAAGATAGTCCAAAACGGCGAGTTTTACGCGTGCCAATGATCGTTTCTCGGCGGCCTAGTTGAAGGATGCACCGAGAACCGAAGTCACGCTAGCAACTGATGAGGCGACACACTCGGAGCCTTTTATGCGTTCTACTTTTGCAGGCGAAGCTGAAGCGTAATCCAAGTTTTCTTCAAAGAGAAATTTCCACACTTGTACCAATATATAAATAGGTTCAATTCACAGGAAACCGTACCGAAAGGAACAATGCGTAGGAGTTTAATGAGTGCTGATTAAATATTGCAGCTTGCATATATCTATGTCCAAGATACAAGTCCCTTGTTCGCGCTTAGCAAGGGTTCCACCTCGACGTTATGACAGACATGCCTTGTTTTGTCGCCAAGAATCCGTTGGCAATGTTGAAGAGCCGTTTTTTCAAGCGCTTGGGGGTTCCGCAATGTTGTACACAAACAAGAACAAAACCAATCGAGGTAGTAGGGGCGAAGGCAAGCTCAGCAGGCGAAACAAGAATGTATCGCTGGATGTACGTCAATTGCTTATTGCATGACAGTCGGTATCAGTGCGGTGGCTGTTGAAATGAATGACAATAAAATGAATAGACCGATAGACACGGAAATAATTGGCATGTTACACCTGGTCAAACGCAGCCGCCAGAGCCACCGGATAGGTGCTACTGTGGCACCCACTTCTACTATGTTTCGGTCCTTTTCCATGCCATCCACGCATTGGCCGGGGTGCCAAAAGACAGAATTGTTAATAGCTGCCGGCGCCATGTATTCGAGATACTAAGGGAGCGATTGAGCCCCGCAGCAGCTAAAGTACACGCGGCGAAAAAAACACTACCAGGAACTATAGGTCGAAGCTTTGCCGTCCGTCAGCGCGTGAACATAAAATATACACGAACGACCGAAACATACACTGCACGCAACAAGGGGGCTCACTTTCAGGGGATAGAATTACAAAGTGTAGCTTTCCCACCGTAGTTACGTTGGCACCCAAAGTCATTCATGCGCAGCGGGAAGTCAATGCGCAAGATTATAGTGGTTAATTAGTACATCGGTGCTTTACTGACTTTCTGTGCCTAATGCACTGGTTCCTCTGCACTGGTTCCTAATGCACTGGTTTCTCTGTGAGCGATTAACCTGTTTCGCGACGATCATCCGCCCCTTTCGAAGACACAGCGGAAGCACACGCAAATGCCTCGACTATGCCGAGAAGGTCACATAAACGCGTTGCAGAACACCCAGAATACGCACGCACGCAAACACACACACCACACACACACACACACACACACACACACACACACACACACACACACACACACACACAAGCCATTTATGAGTTGGCCCAGTAGGAAAGTCACCAAATTTAAAAATAGTGCGCCCATTCCTGGCGGCAGCCTTATCACTATCGAACGTCAAGTGAAAATTCTCCAAGGTAGGTGTGCCAGCACTTCCACATTCCGGAACTTCCCTTGATTGCTCTTAGACTGGATCATACTAATAGGAAATGTAACTAGATGTCCTTCCCACACGTAGCCAGTCTCAACATCACGCACTTCCCTGCGCCAGGAAGTGCGTGATAGTGACAGGTGAGCGGCAGATTGTTGCACCTCACGCAGGCGCCACTCTGCCCTCTTCTGCATTATGCGCTGCATGCGCGCACCTGTTCAATGCCAAGGAACGTTTACAAAAGGAACTCCGTTCCCTCTGCCGTTTCCACGTAAACGTAACGCATTACCGTTACAGTTCCACCGATCTTCGTTTGGCGTTCCTTTGTTGCTCCGAAAAAGGATCTAGTTCCTGGAACGTCGTTCCTTGGAACGCCGTTCCGGACAACACGGCCGATGTACCCAATGTTTCCTCCCTAATTTTCGTTTACCGAAATATAAACCACATCCGCCACGGTTGTGCAGTGGTTACGGCGCTCAGCAGCTGCCCGCAGGTTCGGTTCCGACTCCGGCGGTCGAATTTCGATGGAGGCGAGATGGTAGAGGCCCGTGAACTGTGCAATGTCAATGCACGTTAAAGAACGCCACATGTAGAAAATTTCCCGGGCCCTCCACTGCGGCATGCCTAACAATCTTACCGTGTTTTGGCACGTAAATTTCCACGTAATATTATATATTACTATAAACATCATGTCATTTGTGCAGGGTAGCAAATTCGATATAAAATTGTTAACCTTCTTCACTTTCCGCCCTCATCTCACTCTCTCTTAACACCTTTGCGAGTATACAAAAGTATTCAGTTCCTCCACGCCCCGGAGGCAGTCGCAAAGCCAAAAATCTTTCCGAAAGTAGGAGGGAGGAGGGAAGCGGGCAAATGAAGAGTGGACCCCTCGCCCTGCATTTTTTAAGCCTTTCTGCACTGTGTGTGCAATTTATGTGCAGTTCACTGCTGTGTTGAACACCTTTCATAATAATGTTAAGGACAAAGAGATACCGATGAAGACCTATCTGGAAAAGTTGAAAAATTTTTAAACGCGGAGTGTCGATGGAGTCTTCACTCGTTCGTGTTCCCATGAACATCAGCGCTATGAAGCAAAAACAAATTCGCCCTCCCCCACCAAATAGAAGACAGTACTTTCACATTTGTGCATTCTTACAGCTATGTGTGAAGCCTTCAATTTGTACTCTATTGCTTTTCCTGCTGCTTATGCCTGGAGGTATGAACCCATCTATATTTCTACGAAGTTGCTTTCATATCGCTTTCTTCTGCGTATGTATAAAAGGGGAAACAAAGTCACAGCTTTGCCGCAAAGGCGAAGCAACGAATGCGATAGCAACAAATTGGAATGGCACGCGAAAAACGGCAAGCAGACCGAAACGTGCCCCACGTTGCTCACACACAAATGACGCACGAAACGCACTCACAGGTACAGATTAACGCAATTATGTGTCCCAATTGTTACTTTGCTGGGTCTGAAAAGTGCGTCCTTTTCGCAAACGGAGACTGTGTAACGAGTGTAGTGACCTTTGTGCGCCCGGCAACTACAACACAATTGTTCCGGCAGAAGCCCAAGGCGTACAATTCTCCCCACGGCGAGATTATCCCCAGCCGTGAGTGTCCATATAATTGCTATCACAATAATAAGAAAACATTCATGCTCGAATCAAATATAACCGTAACGGTTCATAAATAAAGCTAGAACAGTGGTGGGTTCAAAAATACATTTCATTGTACATCTTGTTTATTTTTATTATTTTTTAGACAGCCATCAAGAATGCGCTGCGGTACTTCCCTGCGAGGCTGCATGCTACACTTGCGCCAGAGTTCGTGCAAGAGCTGTCGGATTACGGCCACATCTACATGTACCGCTTCATTCCCAACATTGTCATGAGGTGAGTCGTCTGGTATTAATATAACAACCTAGTAAAACTGTGTACTGGTGATCGAGATTATACCCGTTTAGTGATCGAACTTTTCTACACTGATTGACTCACTTCTGCAGCTTGCACAAAAGAACTAATTTGGATAAAGAAATTCGATCCGGATCAGACCCGATTGCAATCAAGAGTGACAGCATGACATCGATGCAAGGTATGAGCAACAGAGCACTGTTCACATAATTCTGCTACCATGCGAAAAAAAAAAACAGAACAGCAACGAAAATGGCACTAAAGAAGCAAGAAGGAATTATTTCGTCAATGAATGCAGCAGCGCTGTGACTCGAGTCTAAGCAAGCTCTGTCTCTAGACGACCTTGCGCGGTGGCGAAGCATTACGCAGACGGTGTGGCGTTCGAGGAGCTGGTCATTGTGCCGAAATCCTTCGACGCCTCATCAAACGCACAAAGTGGCCGTAGGCGTGAACACGAGTGATGCGTAAATCATCATAACGTGACTACCTCATCCTGTGACGTCCAACGTTACCACAAAGGGTATCATCACCTTGACGTCGCTACGACGCCCCACAATGCGACGTGAAAGGATGCCGTAATTACACGTGACATTATCGCTTTGTGACAGGTGGTTTGATCCTGAACTCACTAGTAAAACGACCGGGGATGCGAAAAGCTTTCAATGCCTACAACAATCCTAGAGGTAGCGCAAAACCATGTTGGCAGCAGAAACCTTAGGGAAGGTGGGGATCCGTGCATTATTATCCTTCATTAAGAAGAAAAAGAAGATTACTTTCACCTTACACTAATTTTAGCCTGAACCGCGTGACTTCTATATATATATATATTTATATATATATATATATATATATATATATATATATATATATATATATATATATATATATATATATATATATATATATATATATATATATATATATATATATATATATATATATATACCGAGGCAAAGTTTGCGAGTGGGTTAGTTGACATTTCATGTTTTTTGTTTTTGCGTTTTTGTTTACAATTGAAGCACGAAAAAGTATACAACTGACCAAGAAAACAACGAGGACAAGCGCTCGTCCTCGTTGTTCTCTTAGACCTCTGTACACCTTTTCGCGCTTCAGCTGTAAAAAATGTCGAAGTACGACGACCAAATAGGAACGTTTTACAAGTCCTCTGACAGTTTTACTCGACACATTCAACAGTTTCAGCTCCGGTGAAAAACCCGTCGACGTTTCATTTTCAGTCACTGCGTTCTTTGCAAAGTGTCTTTCATTCTGGTTCGAGCCAGAATGTCATGGTGTACGGGGTGGGGGTCGGTTGCAGCGAAACTACGTATCCCATTGCGGAGCAAATGCTCGCCTATGACTAAAGTGCGCTGATTGACAGCTGCGGTCCCTCAAGCATTGCCCTGTTTACCGCTGGCAGCCGCGTGGTGAGCAGGATACGGGAATCGATCAAAGGGCTCAGCAGCCGCGTTCTCGTGGATAGATTGGTTCCAGGCGAAAATGCGAAGTGACAGGGAGGGGGGGGGGGGGGGAGGGGGAGGTTATAGAGCACGACGATCGGTTCCAGAGCATCGGGGCATTGGGGGAACGAACGCGTCGGTTGTTTATGAGCTGCGAAAGTACGGGATTTTCGGCGGCAGATTGGCAATGTTGATAAAAAAATCAGCTAACGAATAACAGGAAATAGATTGTTGGGCACGAAATAAAAGCGAACCACAAAAATATTAACATATCACTATTATATATAACAAATAAGCAGCGCGTGTATGCACGCACGAATCCACGAATGCACGCACGCATAGGTGTGAAAACACACACACACACACACACACACACACACACACACACACACACACACACACACACACACACACACACACACATCTGGTTTGAGCAAATCAAAATTCGCTCCAGTATTGGCAAGTGACCGCGTGTACTTTTCCGACAGCTTCACTCCTGAATGTTAACCCCAGCACGGTATTGCTGAAAGCTTTGAAAAGTTGCGCGTTCGAATCTGCATAGCGCTCGTGAAATATGTGCATGCGAGAGGTGCCTCTCATAGTGATATGTTGAGTGAAGAACGACAAAGCCACAGGAAATTTAAAGAAAAAAAAACGACGCTAAGGGAAGCGTGAAATTGAAATAGGTTCCATCCTTGAGGAAGACAATTACACTTGTCGGAACGTCGCCTCGAGCTAGAAACCTTCTTGTGCCGCCTTAGCGCACATGAAGGCTTTCTAGCTCGAGCACGCAACCATTGTTTACCGATTTTTTTCTTCAAAGTTAAAGGAACTATTTAATACGAGTCCACGCGCACACAAACACACGCACGGAGTTTGCATTGTTATGCAGCAACACTATACACAAGACCACTGCAATTTTCAAGAGGGAGGAAAAGTGAAGAGTTGAAAAAAAAAAGAATAAATGGAGCCATTTAAGGCATTCTGTGCTCTATGCAGCATCTCAGAACTAGGCAGAAAATTTATTCTGCAATGCTTATACTCGTACATTTGTCCTTAACGTAACGGGATGCTTCGGATATACTTCCGCAAAGAGGGAAGAAAAGTATCTCGAATCGCCGAGGCAAGAACATAGGTAAACAATTACATATGCAGTTGAACACACTTGTAACAACGCTGGTTTTAACAATATACCGGTTATAACAATGATAAGCTGCTGCACCATCCACTTTTGCGTGTTTTCGATGGTGGAATAACCAGCTTACTGCAATTCCCGCATGCCGCATTATCGGTTATTACAATGACTTATGGCTGCTGCTGGGTGTTCATGCTGGAAGGTTATAGAACGTGAAATCCTTGGAAAGAAAGAAGGAAATAAGAAATTGATGCTACTGATTATAGAGGTGGGCCCGTGCCCCCACCTCCCCTCTCCTCGAATTTTTTTCGCCATGATGTAGAGAGCAAAAAATGACCATTTTAAGGGGATGCTCTCTCCGAAATCAAAAAGGTGCCCCCCCCCCCCCCCCCCCGAAAAAAATTTCTCGCTATGCGCTGCAACTGAGCCCGTAGCAACCCCCACGCCCCAGCACCACTTCAAATTTTTGGTATGTTTCACCGCACAGCGAGTAATATTGCGGCAAAGCTAACTCAAAATCACTGTGGCGCGGGAGCGGCGGTTACTGCTGTTCATGCACTTTCGCACAAGCAATTTGAGCAAATTGTTGAGACCCCAAGAACTTCAGCTTTCACATCTTCAGATGTTATTAATTGGCTTTATATGGCCTGTGGCAGTCTCATGAAAGCATCTGAATTTCCAAGCATGTCCAAAAAATTATGCTCATCGCTCAAGCTTCTTGGCATATCCCATCTGATATCATAGCTTTCTTACAACAGTCTGTCATCTGTCTTTCTCTTTTGGGCAACCTGTTTATAGCTATCATTGTTTATAACAATGAAATTTTCAAGGTACTTGAGTATTTTAATAAGTGGGTACGACTGGGATGGAACTAAAAAAAATCTGAATGATTTTCGCTCCAGCTCTTGGCGACTTCAACTGCCCTTGAGCCAAAAGCCGGAGCCCGAAGATTATTACATCTCTCAAATACAACTCACTTTTCCCATTGTAACGTTTACAGAAGTACTAAGACTCAGAAGCGTACCTATGATTTCGCACTCTACACCAGGCAAATCGGCACACGCGTTCCGGGAGCGAGGCAAATGATGAAGCAGAGGGAAAACATAGCACGTGACGGCTCATGATGATGATAGTTTTTCTGTTCGGTTAGCACCCAACAATGGTCGACCTAAACAGCTGCATGCTGTTAAAACATAGAACATAAGCTGCACGGGCTTTTTCCTCTGTCGCTGATGTACTTGAAGACCACGCACTCGAGACCTTAGTAAAGGGACAACCATCCAGTCTCCTCAAGGCACACTGGAAAGTCTGGCGATTTTGTTAAACCCTGCACTGTGCGTGCGTGTGTGTGTGGGGGGGGGGGGGGCATGCAGTGTGCATCTCCTTCTCTCTTTCTTTCTCTTTATTTCTCTTTTACTCCCTTATTCATCTCTCCCCACGAGTATGGTAGCAAACTGGACGTAGTCTAGTTAACTTTCCTACTTTTCGTATATTTTTCTCTCTTTTACTCTTCTCTGTCGTTCGCAGGGCGTACCCTATCGACGAGTACCCGGCCAAGACAAAGCAGGCTGCCGCCGTGATGTTGATGATCATGAACAACCTGGACCCGCAGGTGGCCCAGTTTCCCGAGGAACTGGTTACTTACGGCGGCAACGGACAGGTCTTCTCCAACTGGGCACAGGTATGTCCGCGGGCGGGACACACTCACACAGTCTCCGAAAACCGCCGCAGTATGGCGAAGGTAAATTACGCAAACTAATAATCTGACAGCCGAGGCAGCTTGGTTTATGCGCGCACGCGCGTAACTGTCACACACGAACACACACACACACACACACACACACACACACACACACACACACACAACACACACACACACACACACACACACACACACACACACACACACACACACACACACACACACACAAAACGTCCCCATGTGCCGAAAAGCAGGCGCAGGCTGCCAAAAAAATTGCAGATGAAGCATAGTGCAATGCGAAATAAATAAATAAATAATAAATAAATAAATAAATAAATAAATAAATAAATAAATAAATAATAAATAAATAAATAAATAAATAAATAAATAAATAAAGGCAGTACGTCAACACGCGCACTCCAAGCTTCCTTTACCCCATTTTCTCGATAGGGGAAGTAGTCTTGAATTATAAAGATCGCCAATGCAGTTACACATGTGCTTTCTTACCCTATTCATTATCTTTGCTTTTTTTCATTCACCACCGTTGCTTACAGTTCTGGCTGGTGATGAACTACCTGTCCAAAATGGACGAGTCTCAAACTCTGGTCATGTACTCGGGCCACCCGCTCGGCCTGTTTCCTTCGTCCCGTCCCAGCCCACGTGTGGTGATCACCAACGGAATGGTCATCCCAAATCACTCATCACACGAGGACTACGACCGCATGTTCGCCATGGGAGTCACCATGTGAGCGATAGTTTTGAAGAAGTTGACACGATTCCTCCACTGCGGTTAGAATGGTATATAGTGAATTCTCTAAACAAACGAAGCGCATTTATTCCTTTACACAGGAATGACTTCTACTTCTACTGAGCTCCTTTTCTACTCCCTACTTAACTTGACTACTCCCTACTCCCAATTTTCCGCTTTAATACTCCTTTTCGACTCCCTTTTCAGAGAGAGGGAGAGAATAGGAATCGAAGAAAAACAGGAAGGTTAAATAGGGCTGAGCCCAGTAGGTTACCCTGAGCGGAGGAATAGAGGATAAGGAAAGAAAACTATAGAATAGGAGAGAAAAATCACCGTTTGAGCTGATGTTTCACGTTTGACATGACCAATGACGAATCAGATCGGTGTCCTTGAGAAAACGCAACAGCACTTCCGCTGCCTTTCGAAACTGCGATGGGTAGTCCGATGGTCCCAATATCTTCTCGACAGTCAAAGCGCTTCCGTTCAGTTGATGTAGAACAGTGTGGAGGTGGAGCCACTCATTTGAGTACGTCGGACAGTGACACAAAATGCATTCAGTAGTCTCATCTACAGCGCAGTCGTTGCACTCGGCGCTGTAGGCCATCTCAATCCTAAGTAGACGTTTGTGAGTTCCAGGGAAGAAAATATACAGTGTTAACTGTGCCGTCCTTTTTCAGAGTTCAAGGTAGGTAGAGTAGGAGTACTCTCCCATGAGGTGCACCTGTCGTGTAAGCGTACTCCATGTTACGAAGATATTGAACAAATTGATTCACATGTGCGGTTTAACGTCCCAAAGCCACAATATGATTATGAGAGACGCCGTAGTGGAGGGCTCCGGAAATTTAGACCACCTGGGATTCTTTAGCGCGCGCCGAAATCTGAGCACACAAGATATTGGACAATATCTTGAAATGAAAGTTGAGGCGTTGAGAAATTTCACACATTCGATCTTAGTGCAATCCCCAACAAGACGCATCGTCCATTTTGTGCGTAGTTCAATAATTTACCATTGTACGCTTCATTAGGGTGATTTCAGGTCACAAAGAACGAGCTAAGAGTGTGATAATCATAGCCCATGAGTTTTTTCCACCAAAGTACTCCGAAAGTAGCCGATTTTGAACACAGTAGCCATATCTAGGGTAAATATTTGCAGAGGTACAATAAGTTTTTTAGAGAGGAGCGCATACCTGGATGGTTATATCTCATTTCTTTTGCAGGTATGGGCAAATGACTGCAGGCAGCTACTGCTACATCGGGCCACAGGGCATCGTGCACGGAACAACGGTAATGTTTTCGATCAACGGTGCCCTACACTTGTTTGCGAAGCATTGTACAGACCTAACGGTCATCGTATTGACACGGTTCGAGTCACTCCGCTCAGAAACTGCGACTCGAACATTTTTAGAACTAAGTTAGAACTCGATTTAACAAACTGATCACCATTTTCAAATTATTTCGTTAGATCAGGAATTTCGTGAAATCGGGAAAGTGATTTATCGGTTCTTTTAAACTTGAAAGTGTGACGTATAGATACCCAGAAGCTGCTAAGGCATTGCGTTTGCCGCCAACCCCCGCCCCCACAAAGGAAGCCCGATGACGGGCCAGGTGACACTATGTCCGGGCGATGCAGGCCACGTCACGTGGAGTTATGACCGGCTAATATACGATGAAGTGGATAACAATGGTGCGAGCATGCCAAGTGAGATATGTGCGATGTGATGGTCGTTGCTATCTGACGCATAAACCACGAAATCAGAAAAGCACCATCGCCACTTCTAACGACGCCTATTGCATACGTAAGAGCGCCAACGACATTCTAGTCCGTTGTTATGTGAATGGGTGCAGCGTACAGTTTGGTCAAAGTAAAACTATGGCCGTAAATAGGCCGACTATATGTTTTAATTCTATAGAGTTATCGCGGTCGAGGAGAAACAGCTCTGTGTTAAACTTCGTTAAATCGCGTTTGGTGGTCAAAATTGTTCGTAAGTTCGAATTGATGACAACACTGAACCTTACGGGTATTTGACAGCGAATTACATTTTCTTGGTTAGAACGGGAGCTTTGTAAAACCGAGTGTTTTTTTATTGAATTTTTACTGGATGTATTACAGATCACTGTGCTGAACGCCGGACGCAAGTACCTAAAGCTCGAAGACCTCCGAGGAAAAGTAAGTGGACATGCAGATAGTGACGCTTCGGCTGCGCGTTTAGACTCCGATTCGATATCGGCTTACAGCTACGCATCGAATACAATTTTAACGCCGGGTCCAAGAAGTTAAAAGTGGGTGAGGTGGTCAACAAGCGGAGAGGTTTAAAGGAGAGGAAACCATGCAGCAGATAGAGAACTGATGTTTATTCGGTTAACTCTATTTCAGAGCTCGTATCGTGCTGCTGGGTATACGTTGCCGAATATTTGCAAACTTTTCTAATGAAGACAATAGTATTTTTTGTGTTTATTTTCTTCTCTTATTTCAAAAGGTTATGATAGCGATAATGACAATCGCCAGCCCCAGTACCGCATTTACTCGCACACTACCAACAAGGGCGAGTGTGCGTCAGCTTTTGGCCTGTGTTGAGCAAACGGTATCTCATGATTAATAGTGGCATTTCTAAACTGTTGGTGTATGTTGAATACACCATCGGCTATACTCCGTTACAACCAAAAAATGCTATTCATCGTCATCGTTTAACCTTTATTTCACAGTTGAGCCGTCTGTAAATTTCTCTTCAGCACGCATTACTCTAAAGTCTCATTTTAAGATGCACATATGCATCACTAAGTAAATAAGAAATAAGAAAAGAACACGCGAAACTGGTGCACTCAACCACAGGATTCCTATTCAACGTATAGACTTCCTATATTTTGGTTCTACAGTCTGCATTCTTAGCATGAACGTAAGCCAACTTCTCCCCCCAAGTTACTATTCCAGTTCAGTGAACCTGAAGCTGGCGATGCGAAAAGGAAGTCGAAGAACGGTGCAGGCTTACGTTTCTGCCTTTTTCAGGTGTTCGTGTCCTCCGGTCTCGGCGGCATGAGCGGTGCCCAGGCGAAGGCAGCTGTGGTCGCCAACGGCATCGGAGTCATCGCAGAGGTACGCGCTGATATCACAGGTCACAAACTCACCTCAGTGGGAGGTCCGCATGGCTTTGTTTTCCGCAGATGCCTGGGCAGGGAAGAAGATAGAAGCGGAAGGGGTTGGGGTGGGTATAGTGGTGTCACTAAGTGTCAACTGATGTTACTCTCAGTTTGAAAGAAGGCCTTTTTTTAATATCTTACGTACGGGTCGTTTCTGAAGGAGATTGAAAGTCAGGTTTCGAGAAACACATTAACGATGATCTTCATGACGACTGAAATGATGAAATATGAACGCCGATTTCGATATGCAGTCTTTTTGTACGAGTGGTATGTTTCAACACGTAGCGCGCCCACCGTGTGCCATGCGAAAGAAATTCTGCAGTCATGTCTGCGTAGTCCATTGTTCTACTTATTAATAAAGAAAAAAAAAACATACGCGAAAAAGACAGTCATGTGCCACTTGGGAAAGGTTCGCAGATCACGCACGTGACCCGCAGGCAACGTGTTTGGGACTCCAGTAGTATACTAACTAAATAAGTAGCGAAGTACCCACTAACCTAACTAACCAACAAACTAGCAACTAACTTGCTAAAACAAAACGAATAAACATTGCTCTTTTGTTTATTCCGCAGATGTCTCGCGAAGCAACGTACAAACGCCACCGGCAGGGATGGGTGGATGAGGTCATCGAGGATATCGAAGAACTTATCAAGAGAATAAGGTACGTGTGAACGAAACCCAAATCTTAAACAATGTCTAGCGAGTAAAAAAAGAGAAAGAGAAAAGAATGTTGCAGTTTATGACGCCAAGCTCTTTCTAGTTGCAATTAAGTAGTTCATCAATCGACAACTTAACTGCGATACTGTAACTCTTGCAGAACGTGTTATCATTCTAGTCTTTTTGGGCTCAAATTTAAGTCGATTATATTTTCGATCAATTCCTAGCATCGTTACCAGTGTTCACTGACCATGAAATTGGATTTAATAGATACCATAAGACAACGTCTAAATGTGGGAGGCTTTCATTTGTATTTTGGAAAAGTGCCGTTAATGAAACATAGTCGGCTGAGTTTTATGCAAAGCCCTCCATTGCACAATAAAAATAGTCAACGTATCGCACTTGCACGTTTATCCCTGTTAATTTATCAGCGAGTCTTGGCTTACAGAAAAAAAAAGATAGGATTTGCGGATACGTGCAAGTTGTATAGTACATACACATGGACTGCATTTCCAGGAAAGCCAAAGCCACGAAGGAGACTGTGAGCATCGGATTTCTAGGAAACATCGTTACATTGTGGTAAGTTAATCAATTAAGTGTCGAGTTCTTTTTGTTTTGTTATTTTTTCTTTACCAGCTGTACTGGCATATCTAACAGCTCCCTGCAACACGTAGCTTCGCGGTAGCGTATAGTCGGGGCTAGTTTATCCCATTTTCGCAAATTTCCGTGAACAAATATTCGTTATCGTCTCTCATCGTTAGTTCTCTGGCACCGATTCCTCTTTTTTTACTTCTATAGCTTAACGTGTCTTATATGCTTGTGGTTCGAACAGGAATGCCTTTTATGAATCGCCGATTCGAATAATATATGCTTCAATGGCTAATTTTGATATTATATACATAATTCTGTGCACACACTGCTAGATTTCTTATATTCATTACACATACAAAATCTATGCTTTTAAAAAAACCCAGAGCTTTCATAACACAGCACGCTCTAAAGTAATTTATTGTTGGGAGGCGGTTCACGGCAACGGTGAAGTTTTTTATCTGCAGCAAAAAAAAGTTTTCTGCAAATTACGTTTATTTAGCCATCGGAATAAGCTATTACATGTACAAACGGAGTAAGGTTTCAGCGGAGTGGAACAGGAGGACTCGATTCTGACACCTACAATGCCAAGAGGGACAATCCGGGGGCTTTCACGATATTGTTGATCGGAATGTGTTGCTTCTTAACGGGAAAAACTGGGCGTGAGGAACGTGCTTCGATGTTTTTTTTTTTTTGCTTGCACAGACACGTGGCCTTTTCTTAAGTCGCTTAAAAGAACACTACAGAGAAGGTCGTTTTTTTTTTTTTTGCGTATTAGTAAAGTACAACTCCACAATCCATAACGCGCCACTCGTATACCGCGAGACGACGGTTAGTGAGAAAACGCGCCAGAAAGAAAATGCGGGCGGATACTCCACCTTGGGATTCCCGCAGCAAACACCGTGACGTAAAAGATTTCGATGGCGTCTACTGGGTCCTAAGTATAGTTCTTAATATGTAAAAATGAATTACATCGTCATCTGTGGGTGCAATATACCCAACATACGAATTTTCAGAAAACTTCATAGAGTTAATGTCCCGAAAATACAAAAACAAGTTACGGTTCGAAATCACTGACGTCACGTACGGAAATGCAGGCACGAAATTTAAAATTAAACGTCAACCTTGATTTTGTTCTCTAATAATAAACTTATGACGGTGAAACTTGCGAGATTAGAGTTCACAGAGTACAGTATATGAATCGATAATATGTACAGTATATGAATCTGTCTATCAATCTATATATATTATATATAAATATGTTAGGTCGTTGTTTTATTTTAGCGCACCCTTAATTTTTTAACCGGAAGGAAGCGTCACTGAAATCAACGTTTTGACATGTGCACTTGTCCCGAAGACTGCAACTGAAGACAAGTCAAGACCACGTCTGGATACGTTGGCTCAACAGGATACCCAATGTCCCAAAGATTTTTCGTCGGTTCAAGTTTTTATCTTCCACTGAACTTGTGCTTTTTGTAGGTTAATTGTTCAGTGCGATGACACAGCTACTTGTTAAGCCAAAGGCGTGTAAGTTACGCTTCACGCATTACTAAATCCATTCATCCCCTGTCCAACCAGGGAGCGCTTGGCTATAGAGCTGGAGGCCACGGGCGAACTCCTGGCGGACCTGGGCTCGGACCAGACGTCATGTCACAATCCGTTCAACGGAGGATACTACCCTGTGCAGGTCAGTGCGTAGGTTTCGTGCACAAGATATATCGCAAAGCACCTGTATCGCGGCCCTTGGAGACAAGGGCATTGAGAGACATGTGTGCTGTATCATCTCTCTATGTATACATTATCAGGACCGTCAGCCACTCATCTTCACTGAGCACATTTCATGTCATTCTAACGATTTTAATACCTATATGTCTTACTCGCCGTTAGCACGAGGAATTTTAAGCATCTCTACAGCCAGTCATTACACCGATTGCCCGCATCTTCTGTTGTATTCCGTATTGGCGCTCTTTGGTGGCCCTGGCGCCAATAAACACATCATCATCATCATCATCATCATCATCATAGTCATCGTCATCATCATCATCATCACCAACATCATCATAATCATCATGATCATCATCACCACCACCATCATCATCATCATCACGTTCTGTGCACAACTGTGTGAGCCTACCAGTAACAGAACTCGTCGACTTTTGACAAGACGGGGCGTACGGTTGAAATCCGGAAAACATATAAGAAATGCACTGAGTTAACCCGGAATCCAATGTCCTTTGCTGACTAATCAATCTAGTAAACTACGTGAAGTGATAGAAGCACAAGCTGAACTACACTTTTACGCAACACAGAAAGAGAATAATAATAATTGGATCGTCTTACGTCCCCAAATCCCGCCAACCTCTCCTGCATACACTTCTTTTGATAACGGAAACTAAGATAATAAACAGACAGTATACAAAGACAATGGGAGGGCCCGAAGGGCATGATAAGACACTAGCTGATTCTAAAGCTAGCGCTGCTGTCAACTCGTGCATGCGCCACTCTTTGCTGGACCGCCCCGTAGCTCAAGGTATAGCTATATCTATCATTCCGTCCTTATAAGAAGTGCGGATCTGAATGCCAGCACTAATTCCGAGTTTCACTTTGTATGTATACTTCTAAGGTGGCGGTAGACATGCATGGCATGAAACTGATAACAGTATGTGTTTTAATATTTGCAAATGAGAATGTAGTCGCGGCTTTGTTCCCCCGAATGCGGGAACCGTGCTTCTCCGTGAGCCTGCATGAAAAATGCAAGACGGAAAGAAACCAATCGTCATTTGGAACGTTAGAAAACCTATCAACCAGGCCAACAAGTCTTTCGTCTGATGCAACTTCAAAATTGCAGAAGTGCAAGAAGACATTTGGCGTGGGTGTCTTCAAAGATATATATAAAAGCGCGAAAGCTGCAAGAACGTGAATTAGGCCCATGCATGTTTTTTACCAGCTATATACGTAAGTACAGGGTTTTCCCTTAGAAAGGGGGGAGGGAGGAGGAGATATGAGGGCGAAGGTTAACTTTCGCGCAAGATTAGCTGTTTATTCCAGCCTACACATTTATTCAGTTGGATCTAACATTGTAGCGCTCACGTCATTCTTCACGTGCAAGATTAGAGCAACGCACGCTTTTTTACGATAATCGATAATGGCGACCGAAGGTCCCTGATGTACGGACGTCGGCAAGATTTTGTTTTGGGGGATACAAACCCAACTTGCATCACTGCTGGGGTATGGGGCGAACGTTAGTTTAGCTTGAATTGGGGGGGAGGGGGACAAGTACTGGCATTGCTAGGGCGGAGGGGGGGAGGTACACTTTTTGAACTACCTTGCCGACCACCTGTGTACTAGTGTCGCATTCAAAAATTTCTTCGCTTCCCGCCTCTACGCCCGGAAAGCGAGGATTAGAGGATGGTAGTTGTGAAAAGTACGCCATCAGATTCCTGTTCATTTTCGCATCCATTGCGGAGCTTTGTTTCTGTCGTATTCGAACAACAATGGGTAGGAGAAAAAAAAAAACGCTGCGGTGCCCCCCTCCCCTCAGTTGGGGAACTTTGAGCACGCCTGTGTTCTTTCAAACATTGCCTCTTGTGCGAGGCAAAAACCTGAGCTTTTAAGCTTGCGAGCAGAATTACTGAATGGCGCCGCAAGGGTTGGTTAACATATGGTTCGGGGTGTATCGGCTCAGCAGCGCGGCAGGCGTAGCTTTGGTTTGTTTTGTCGCCCAGGGAAACTGCGAAGTCTTCCGACGACGGCGATGCGTGCCTTCTCCGACGGGACAGCGGAGGATTGAGCTGCAGACGCTGAAAACGGGGGAAGAAGGAAAAGAACAACATTTTCGGCCGCAGCCAGGAATGCGGGAAGACGTGCGTATGGGCAGCGCGCGCACACACACACAGATGGTCGCGGTGCTCAACAATGGCCGTCTGGGGCGACGTAAGGTGGAAAGAGAGCGCGGGGATCGAGATAGATTGAACGACGAACGGAACGAAAATAGGCGATCCGCGTAGGAAAAAAAGAGGAAGCCACAACGGAGAAAGAGAAAGCACGAGGTTTCGAAGAGGATCGTGAGGAGGAGAGAGGTTTTTGCTAGACGAGCAACGATGCGTACATCATCGCTGGCACCGTGATGAAGTGCTCGGTGGAATGATTTATGCCACGCTTCTTCGGGGAATGAAGAGGAAGAAACGTGAGCGGAAGCGCTATTTTTTTTTCTCTTGTACGCTTTGTCTTTGAATTCTTGGCGGGGAACGAAAACAAAGAACTGTTATGTTTGAGTTATGTGACTCCGCCGAACACTGACGACGCGAAGTTGTTCGCGACTGCCAAGCCAGCTACTTCTACTTGCAGCCCAACCTATCCGAGCTCCCCTACAACAAAATTCTCGCGAAGCTGGCGCCACCTGCCGACCAAGGTTGCAAATATGGCGACAGTCGCAACCGCGTAGAGCAGAATTTCAAACTAAAAACAAACAAAACATTCGGAAGGAAGGGGATGGGGGCACTGTGCTTCATTGCAAGTGCGGAGACTTCGGATTTATCAGTGGTGATTTTTATACCAAATTCGAAAAAAAAATTGAAGGAGCACATCATAACAAAAATGTATCTGGTTGTGTAGAGATATTCGCGATGATATTAATGCCAAGACACCAACTTTCCCAACGTTCAACTCTTTCATACGAAGACAAACGTTGTGTCCGCGTTCGTATTTCTTTCTATTGTCTTGTTTCGTTGCGATATTTGCGATGATATTAACGTTAATGCAGGGAAGACCCCTCCAGTAATATTTTTTTTTTTTTCAAGAAAGACAACACCAGCGCTCTGAAACCGACTTGGTCTCCTGTATTTTCAGGAACAGTCAACCTTAAGGCATCAAAATGAACGCCCAGAAGATCAAATTGTAGTTTCTTCTAAACGAAACTTTGCTGTAGAGTCATCTTTTCGTACGCTGCTTGTCTGCTTTACATTCAATGTGATTCCATGCCGCATTCACTGTGAACGGATTTCGGTGATTCGAAACGACGCTAATTTCCGTTCTATGGAGTATTTTAAAATTAAAACTGGCAGTACCCCCAATGGGCTGTCACATTCTGCAGTGGTATTTCGTGCAATCCAACTCAAATGTGGCTTCATGTGTCATTTCATTAGCGTGAGACGATGCATACACTCATGACCTGCGATGACAGAAACTCGTGAGAGCTTGCAAATTTTCGTATATACCAAAGAGGGGAGGGGGAGAGTAAGGGTAAATTTTCACTGCAGCATCGCCAACTACCTTCCGAAACCCCCTCTCACTTAAGGTCCTTACGATCTGAGCACCCCCTTTCACTTTTGGCCCTTGCGATTTGAGCGGAGCTCAAGAATGAAGTACATAGATGGGTGGGGTGGGGGATCCGCACCCTACGTCCTATGGTTGCATGCCACACATGGTACGAAGTCGTTCAAGCCATGCTTCAAAATGACAATTTTCGGTGCTTTTATCGTGATATAATGTTGAATAAACTGAAGCGTACTGAACTCCCCGTGATAAAGTTAGATTCCTAAGCTTTCTCGCAAATCGCTGAACACTCGCCATAAAATTTTAGGCGAGGCATGTGAATATGTTTCCGTGTTTTCTGTCTTTCACGAGCACGTTTTCAGCGAGAGAAGCGAAGTCACACGAAAAACAAACGAACGAACAAACTTCAAGTTGAACTATGGTGCACGTAGGGACCAACATCAGGTCGAAACTTCGAAGAACTGCATTATCATGCCTTTATCGCGCGAAGTCAGCACAGCGCGCGACTTAGTTGTCTTCACCTGACTTATGACGAGACGCTTGGCAGCTGCTGCGCCTACGCGAATATTTATCCCCCAGTTTTTCATATTTTTTTCTTCTTCTTCATCTTGGCAGCTGACTTACGAGGAGGCCAACGCCAAGATGAGGGACGACCCTCGGACCTTTAAGATGCTCGTGCAAGAAAGGTGCGTTTGTCTTTTTGTTGGCACAATACGAAGAAGGAAAGGAATCTGGGGGTTTCACGTGCCAATTTCGCGATGTCGTTATAGAGGTACATCGGTGTGTTAGGGTGGACTACGTATTAATGTAGACCACTGAGTAATATGGAATTAAAAGAGGGACACCAACAATAAAAAATAGCATATCCACGGAGTGAATGATGATGAGTGGGGCAAAGCTGTCTGTCTGTCTGTCTGTCTGTCTGTCTGTCTGTCTGTCTGTCTGTCTGTCTGTCTGTCTGTACGTCCGTCCGTACGTCCATCCGTACGTCCGTCCGTACGTCCGTCCGTCCGTCCGTCTGTCTGTCTGTCTGTCTGTCTGTCTGTCTGTCTGTCTGTCTGTCTGTCCGTCCGTCCGTCCGTCCGTCCGTCCGTCCGTCCGTCCGTCTACATGTCCATCTGTCTGTAAGTATGTCCATCCATCCATCCATCTAGTGGACACTTCAAGTACGCCGTCAAACACTTTCTCAAATTTCCAAAAAACAGTGGCAGTACTGTTTCTGGTTGAGGTACTGGCTATCAAACTTTATAGACACTACATATGTACTCCCACGATACAGCCGTCATGTCCAGTCAATGTCCATTGTAGTTAGGCGCCATCATGCTGAGGTTGATTTCTGTAGCAGTGTTGAGGGCTACCATCCACGGAGCCCCAGCGCAAATGCCGGCGCTTCATATCAGCTCACAGCTCCTGGTGATGCTAATATCTATGTTGCTGTTGGCATCGTTACTCAAGTGCTAATAAGTGCTAATATAAAACATACGCAGGTATTTAACGCATGCGTGTGCGTGAATTTGTGCATATAATGAGCCCCAATTCATAACGTCTCGGTCAATGAAAAAAAATTAACATACATTCCCATTGTATTCAATATTCGCATAACATCAATTCTCAAGGTATACCTGCCGAATTTTCATTATGGTCAGTGTCTTTTCAATTTTCATCACGTTGCTTCCCGACCAGACGGGCTTCCGCAAAAATCTCTACTTTATTGAACTTAATTTATATGTGATGTTATGCGCATAACAATAATGCGCCGTTTTCTCAAATGCGAGATAGAAATAATGCATAGAAAGGAAGGGAGGTTAACTAGGGAAGATTTGGTTGGCTGCCCTGGCTCAGAGAGGTGGTACCAGGGTTGAGGAGAGGAAGATAGTATACGGAGGGTCGTAGGGGAAACAGCGCGAAATACCAGGGGAGTAAAGGCACACATACAACCACGCGTACGGCTTCTCGGCCGGGGTCGCTCCCTGGATTTCGTGGCGACCGGTTGTGCGCCCGCGCGCTCCGCGCGCTCGCGACCTTCGGCGTCATCGTAGCTCTGGCCGACTGGGCTGGCCCTACGTCACCTCCTGTCGCCGGCTGTCTTCGGTGACAGCGCAGCTCTGACCTACTGGAGCTGCTCTACGCCATCTACAGACGCCGACAACATCTCTCGCAAGTGCACCCCGTCCTCGGACTCCAGTGACCGTGCTTCCATCTTTCCTGTCTCTCCTATCCCCTCAGTTTGTTGTTGCTTCTTCTTCCTCTTTCCTATACCTTTACCTCTACCCTTTTATCCCTCCTTACCCCCATCCCTTTGTGAGCTCTGTGGCGGTGTCGCTCACTGAAGCAGACAATAACGGGGCTCACTTTTCTCTTCCTTTCTCTTAAGAACCACTCCGCTTCTCGGCCTTGGAAGATCCAAGAGCCCTCGTGGCCAGGGCGTGTGCCGCCGCGGAAGCTATACAAGGGTCCCCCGGACTAGGGACTCTTCCTGGAGTTTATACAGGGTCGGCCCTTAAGGCAGCCCCTATCTCTCACTTGTAAATAGTTTCAATAAGTGTTTTTTTCACTACCTCCTACCACCGGCTGACAAGTGAAGTTTGTTGCGGACAAGAACGTAAATACACGTACACGTATCAGTCATCGTCAATACAATAGGGACAGGAAAAA